CCCATACCTTGATTAAAACTCTTTCAATACTGAAATCTCCAAGTGAATCCCTGATGTATATATCAACTGGGAAACTATAGTCCTTTTTCCAGTCACCCACTGGAAGTTTCGTCGACAGCGTGTTCAGTGTAATTGGTCCATTTATCACAAGGCCAACGCTGGTGTAATAGCGATACTCGTATGTAAGTGGTTCATCTTCATCTCTCCAACCTGAACAGCTGATATTAAAAGTGGTCGATACAGCGTAGCCATTTTCTGGCTTAACAAAACATCCACTGTTGGTGTCACTGCTCGTGAACGGTGAAGAGTTCAGAGTAAACTTCATGAAATATTCTTCCTTAATGATTTCTCTTTTTGCTCTTAATTCAATCACAGCCTTAAGTTTGAAGACAAAATCTCTTGCTGAGATAGAAGACCAATTTGCAAACAGGCTTCTTGGTGGATATTTTAGACCGACTATTGTTTTATGCGTAAACTCTTTCCACTGTTTGCCTTTGCTTGTGGGACGGTGTAAAAGTATGCTCCATTTTGTGTTGTCGACGTTACTGCACAGTTGTCCTTTACATTCAGGGAAAATCTTTAAGCTTTTAGACTGAATAACTTTTTCTCCACAATTTGAGGTACACCTGTAAGTAGTATACATATGAATCATGAAACTAGTAACTTGTATATCCTCAACCCTATGCTTCTGTAGTGGAACTTTTGTATCAAAAATAATGACGACGGCAGGACAAAAAACCATTATCTTCATCATAATTTCATTCAAATGCACAGGGCCCAGTAAGATGACCAGTCCTTGCAACCAATACATTTCCCCGATCCCTTGGCACATCGTTATATCGTATTTCTACTAAACCATGTTTTCTTATAAAGATCTTAACATTTTTCCTTATTTTGATATGTTTTAAAACTGACAACCGTTTTTCTCACAACTCGGACCCCTAAGAAAACTCCAGCTTCTTTCCTGCCCTCTCTGGGGACCTTTCTTAAAAGAGGGTAAAGGTTATTTCACTTTTGCTTACCTGAAACTAAACTGTACGGCAGGAAGGGCCTTCAGTGCATGAACTGTAAAACATGTATTATTTCCTTTAGCGACGATGAGCTGGAAAAAGTACGTATGATTGGACTGAAGCCTGTACATGTTTATATAAAACCTTGCTCCTTTTTCAGCTATCAAGCCGTATGGGCATTCTCCTTTAAAGGCAGCTTTATCGTTTTTTCGTTTGCACATCCAACGGAACCGTAAGTCTTCCTTCCTAAAGGTATCGGGGTCGACGGATAAATAGGCCTTTAAAACAACTACCTCGCCGAATCGTTTTTCAGATTCCTTTGGCCCGCTTATGGTAACTGTCATAGCTGGTTTGACAATTCTTAGAAAGGCGAAACCATTCAGCGTCATGCCATCGATGTTTGTGAGGACAGCTGTGTACCTCATAAAAGTGTCAGTAATACAACACTGTCCAGGAGGACTCGGCAAGTATTCATTCATTGTTAAAAATGGGCCTGTTCTGAAGCTATTTTCCATTATTATAAAGATCTCCCATCTTGGCGAATGATCATTTCTTTTTCCGTTGCAAAAATCTATTCTTCCATCTGCCCCCGCTTGTGATGTTATAATTATTTTCGTGGCTGTAGAAGTTGTTCTTTGAAGATCATATACAGATAAGGAACAATTGTAATTTTCTATATGGATAAAGAGAGACTGCATTGAGAGAGAATTGTTATTTTAACAAAAACTAACAATACCCTTTTCAGGGACGTTTCCTGATCAAAATCAATTTTCACAAAAAAAGAAATCTTAAGTTCTCTCGCTTACCAGCGTAAACATGAACCACGCGCTCATAATTGGTCGTGGTATTTTCCATGGAGTTTCGAAGCCTCCGTATCTCTTCAAAAACTTGTTGGGCAATTATTTTGTCCTACAAAGGGAAGCAGATATAAAGTTAAGTAGCAACAAGACGGGGTAGACTTCATATGCAAACTTTGAGGCAAAAAACTCTAGTGCTTACTTTCGAGAAAACGACATTAAATTGCACTGCGGGTTGGGGTTGAAATAAATTTATAGTGCAGCAGACGAGTGACCATTCAATGAATGATTTTCCAGTAATCGTACACCTAGCTATGCGCACAGGATTATGGGATCGCTGGGGGGAAACATTGCAAGTCGCTTCAAAGAAATGTAAGGCGTGGAGTTATTTCTACGTTAAAAGTAGTGTTTTTGGAAACAAAAACATCTTCCCCACGTTGACCGTATATCGATTTCTCCTCACCAACAACACACAAGCAAAATGTTTTGTCATGAACCAGAGCACCAATGAGTTCTAATGCCTTTTCCAGTCACTTGTGGGAGGAAATATAATCTCTCTCACTCTCTCGTCCGATTTTTCCTAATCTACTCATGAACAAATACCATGTACTTTCTATGGAATATTTGGTAGATGTTACTTAGTTTATACCAAAGTAAAGGAGGAGTTTTTGTTTTTACGGCCACGTAAGACACCACCTTTAGTTATCGTCCAGTGACACAACCCGCACAGCGCCGCACAGCGCTGATCGTGGCCGAGCGTAGTTACACTCGTTGTAAAAATCACCATACGTAATTGAAAATAAAAAGCTTAAATGAGCTAATCCCCCTACATTTAGACCTAAATTTGCACTATATAACTCGAGACCTTTTCTTCATGTATAGATCACAGTGTAAATTCAGTAAACATAAATTTCACACTCAACCTCACGAAAGGAGTGTTTATTGCTACAGTTTAGCGCATTAATCACACAGAAACTTGATATTTCAACGCACCAACATTAGTCACCTCAGCTTCTCACAAAATCATGACGAAAATGCGTTATTCCAAGTCCAAAGACACAGCGTTTGACGGAGAAACTACATTACGCCAAACATTTCTTTGTAGCGACTCGCAATGTTTGCCCCCATGGCGATCTCAGAATCCTGTGCGCATAACACGGGTCTCCGATTAGTGGAAAATCATTCATTTGTTACTACTAACACTTGAAAGCGCACACTCTCGATCAGATGCTATTTGTGTTTTTAAGTAAGGGAAAACTGAATCCGGGGGGGGGGGTCTAAAAGAAGCAGGGATTAATTTGAAGGACGAAGGGAAATTAGCGATAAAAACACATCGGTAAATTTCAACTAGAGCTTGCAGTTGTTCCTGCTCAGTGGTAGTTTTTGACAAGAGCATCGCTATTTCAATAATAGGCCATTTGCACGATGGCGTCATTTTACTACTATGACCAGAATCCTTTTCGTTTTTCTTTTCATAGTTAAATTTGGTAATCCCAGCGAGATTTATGACAAAAGCCGTAATTTGCACAAGAAAGGATTCTGGTCGTAGTAGTAAATGATGTCATTGTGCAAATGGCCCATTGAAGAATTAAGTTACATCGATCGTATTGCATATTCTTTCCTGCGGCATAAAACGTTGTTTTGAGAGGTCGTGATATATTTTTTGGTGGTTTTGGAGTTGCCATGTCGCTTTGGTCTTGTTCACTTGATAAACAATATGCAAGAGCTATGCAATCCTTTTTGTTAAATTTTGCAGAAAGCTGAATTATAAAACTTGAGTTTTCTTTCTAATTATTACATGCATGTCTCAAATTATTTCCCCTGCTTATTTGTTTAACAAAGCAATCGTGTTTAATCATCGAATCCTGAATAGGTGAAAAATAGCTGGAAATATGAAGGGAAGTGCATAGGTAATAAGATACTAAAGTGACCGATTCACTACACAGTCGACATGTGTATATTTTCTTACCTTTGTATTCTTTTCCCCATTTTCCAAACAGGATCTCGCCTTAATGAAAGCAGCGTCCATCAAAGACATCCTTAAAATGTTACCCAGTCCAAACAGCATTCTCTCGTTGACGTCTTTTTTTAGAGTGTCAGTGTCTTCGGAGTTATTATCTATCAGCTTCGAAAGGAAGTCTATTCCCACATGAATTTTACGTAGTGCTAATTCCTGTAATCGTAACATTCATTTTCCATCATGTTTGTCTTAAAAAATATTTACATCGCTAAAACAAAAGAGTACGACACTTTCAGTGTTTTCAGTGGATTTTAAGAAGTTATTGGGTCTTTCAAACTAAGCACTGAACACTGAACTTTAAACCAACGTACGATTATGTTTTACTTAAACAAACATGGCACTCTTGAACCAAAAGGCAAATTATTAATGAAACAAAATGGATAGAAATGATCTAGTAGTGGTCCATGATCATTCCCTTTTCACTAAATACAGAGAGGTTTTTGTCTCTTTCCCAAGACGTAATTTACAAAAATAAGAATACAATACCTGTGAGTCCAATGGTGTATCACCCCTGGTGGCCATGGCTAAGATAATGCTTACTTTCGACAAAAGTTCATTGCTACTTATTTCCACGCGCCTTGTTTCTTCGAGAATATTGCTTTTTGCCTAAAGAACGATTTTAAAAGGTAATAAAAGCCTTCATCGATTGATAAGTTAAACATATTTTAAAACGCATATTGGACAATTTGTTTTTTGGACAAAATGAATAGCTTACCATTCGGCCAACATGGTTCTTTTCATAGTACCCCTGAAAGAAAAGCAAAGGAGGAGTTAGCAAAATGTATTTGACAGCTATCAAATGTAACTTCACCACAAATAGTGGACGGATGTTCTACTAGGACAAAAGTACGTTTACATATATTCCAGAAATAAGTCGGTCCCTGCTAAAGATCCTCCTTATTTATATATAAAATTATAAATGTAGAGCCTTGATTTTCTCCAGCTCCAGATACTTGAGTTTAACGTTAGTTGATTGCAATGTTCATAAGGATGGCTGGATCGGTTAGGAAAAAAAGAAAAGAAAGAAAAATTGGTCGCTAAAAATGACTCGTTTTTAATGCTTCTGACACGGATTCAAGTGTAACTTGACTGTTTTGTTTACCTCTGAATCCTCCAGAACTGAAAGGACGGAAATGGCTAAATCACACGCCTTGGTATATTTCCTAATTGTGATTAAATAGTTGAGTCTGTTGGTTTTTTGTAAGCAATCCTGTACAAAGTTTTGTTGACATCTTCAGAATTCTTGGGTTGAACCTAATTTAAAAACAGAAAAAAAAATACTTAAAAACTCCAAACAGAACAAACAAGCCCAGGAAAGGCTGGACACCACTGCATTCTACGTCCCCTACTCTTTTCGAACGGTGGTGTGGGTTCTTTTTCGTCCTTCAGGAAACAAATAACTGAAAGTGTTGTGAGACGGGACCTTTTTCGTCCTTATCGTAGAAGATTAGTCTAACCGTTTGCAGATGTCAGTACAAAGGCAGCATTGTCAAATTCTTCACAGATATTTAAAGACCCTGAGTGTTGGTCCGGCCAGGTTTTGAACCCTTTGCCCCCCGCTCAGCAGACCAGTGCTCTCCCAAATGAGCTAACCAGGTGGCGGTTTAGGGGCATTTCCTCGCAAAACAATGGCAGACCTTGTATTAGACGGTGCACCTAGCATCTAGGAACGCCATAGGAGGAAACAGAAGTGCTGAAGACCTCTATTTGGTTTGGATACGAGTTCACGAAAACTCCCAGCATTTTACAACTCGTTGGGACCAATTCTGACAATTATACCTTGACTGTTACTCTTTTGACAGTAAAATCTCCATATGAATCCTTGACATGTACATCTACTGGGAACTCGAAATCCTGAAGCCTGTCACCCACTGGAAGTGTTGTTGATAGCCTGTTCACTCCAATGCCCGTAATTGGGGCATTTATAACTGCGCCTACGCTAGTGTTATAAACGAACTCATACGTTAGTGGTATGTCTTCGTCATGCCATCCCAGGCAAGTGATATTAAAAGTGGTTTCCACGGCAAACCCTTCTTCCGGTTGAACAAAACAACCACTTTTGGCGTTTTTTAGCTGAATTGGCGGAGAATTCATATGAAATGCCTCAGTATGGTCTTCGTCAATGATTCCATATCGTTCTTTGATTTTAATCATGGCTTTAACTTTGACCGAAATATCCCTTGCGTACGTTACAGCAGTACTCCAAGAGAGTTTATTCAGAACAAAACTGTTCAATGGTGGACTTTTTTGGATAATTGTTTGCCAGTGTCTGCCTTTGTACACAGTTTCGTATTCTCTGATCTTCCATGTAATCATGGACACGTTATTGCATAGGTGTCCCTTACATTCAAGGTTGAGGTTCAAGGGCTTAGACTGAATAAATTTCCCTCCACAATTTGACGTGCATCTGAAAATCAAATCAAATCATTACAAATATAATCATCCTCGTACCTTGGTCAAAATTACAGATGAAGGGGGTATTCCAAGTCGTTTAAATTGTGTTGAGGACGTCCGTTTTTGGATTTATGACTTTGCTAATTATTTTTAAGTATTTATGGAATACTAGTTTATAAATTGGTCTTTTTGCTAGTTTGCTCGATCTACCCCCGCTCTTCTAGCGGATAACTTCCCTCTTACTCAGAGCTAGTAGGTTCTGCTCACCACAGTACCCAATGAGACTATTCAAAACTAGTGCAAAAGTAATTTTTACATTTACCGAAACCGATATTCTACGACCACCCAAGACGAGAGGGGGTTGCAGCTGTGAGAAAGTTTAACTTTTAAGGAGTGTTCTCAGTCCGCCCCAGCAAAAAAAATATATCACAATTCAATCCAGAAAACTGATCCTTTTCGAGTTTACTTAATGAGGTAAAGCCATGGAGATTAGATTTGACCCTTGATAATCCAAAAAGCTTGTCTTCGAGGGTTGTTGTGAGACATTTGTATTACAAACCTGAATCTAACGTCTATAGCGGGAAACACTTTTAATCCATGAACTACTGAAGTTGTCCGATATCCTTTTGAAACTAGGAGTTTAAACTCGTGTGTGTGATTAGACTTCAACCTATTGATATCCACAAAAAGGAGTTTCCCATTAGCAGCTGTCCTCCCGTGTTTACACACTTTGAAATCAGTCTCTTTGTCTCTTTTGCATTTCCAGATGAAACTCAAAGTTCCCACACTGCGAATATCAGGATCATATGATTCAGAGGCGTTTAGCACGACGTCCATCTCAAACCCCTTTTTAGCTTCTTGGGGACCAGTTATAATTGCTACTAGCTCTGGTTGGACAATTTTGAGAACGCCGAAATCATCCACATTTCTAATGCCTAGCTCGTTTACTTGGGCAGTGAACGTCACAAAAAGATATGTGGGATAGCAGTCCTCACAAAATGTTATTGGCTGTAATAAATATTCACTGCCGTTATGGACGTCATATCTTAACAAGGAGTCCGTAAGCTGGTTTTCATTCAAAATAAAAAATATTTCCCATCTTGCATGTGAAATGGAGTTAATCTTTGAGTTGCACAAAGTCACGTATGCACGGAGCATCATGTTACAGGTCGTCAAAACCTCTGTAGCTTCAGAAACTGTTTTGTTGAGGTTAACATGAGCCTCAGGGAAGGAACAGGTGGAGTTCACTAAAAAAAAGACGAAATAAACTACATCAAACCAAGTTTTTACAAGGAGTTAAAATCAGCAAAGATGCCTTCTAGCAACCTCTACCAGCCCAACCCCCTCCCCCCCCCACCACCACATACAAAAAGAAACAGTCAGGGGCGTCAAATCTGCCTTATGAATAATAATAATAATAATAATAATAATAATAATTGAAGAAGAAGGGAGTAATGGCGAGGCTCCAGCGCAAATACCACCTGCAAGAGAAGGGTTTATGTTGTAATAGAGGAACTGAAACAGAAATTAATAGCAAAGGTACCAAGGTACCAAGGGAGAGTCAGACAATATAAGCAGAACAGACTGTTTGTCAATAACAGACATCAGCTGCGATGGAGATGCACAGAAGGAACAGGAGACCAGTGATGCGGATGCACCTATAGCTTTCTGGGGTAATATCTGGGACCAACCAACACACCACAATCAGAAAGCAGCATTTTAAGATGATGTGAGGGAAGTGTTTCAGGATATTCCAAGGCAAAAAGAAATATTGAGATCAAAGTTCAGGAGGTTAAAACACAGTTAAAGAGGATTCCGAGTTGGAAGGCCTCTGGCCTGATCTGATGCAGGGCTTTTGGTTTAAGAACGTTACCAGCCTACATAGCAGAATTGCAGAACAACTTCAGGCATGGTTGGAACTGGGAAAGTACCATCTTCGATGACGGCCAGGAGAACAGTTTTAATTATGAAAGATAAGTGCAAAACACCCCTGGGAACTATTGACCCATTACGCGTTTGGCGTTAAATTGCACATGGCTCACTGGAATAATCTGCTCTCATTTTATGAGCATCTAGAGAGGTAGAAACTATTCCCCGAAGAGCAAGAAGGCTGTAGAAGAAAATCTAGAGGAACAAAATATCAGTTGATAATTGATAAGATGGTGATAAAAGATTGCAAGGGGAGGTAGGCAAATTTGGCGATGGCATGGATTGACTATAAGAAGGCGTACGACATGCTCCCGCACACGTGGATCATGGAATGCCTCACATAGTTGGTGCTGCTAAGAATGTACAAAATCTCCTGGGAAGAAGTATGGAGGTCTTGACCTCAACAAGCAATGAGTCGCTTGGCGAAATTCGAATCAAATGAGGAATAGGACTCTCTATCACCATTGCGTTATGCTATTGCTATGACACTGCTACTCCGAAAGATGAAGCCTGGGTATGTCCTACGCAATGACCAGATTCGGATTAACTTCCCACTATTTTTGGACGACCTTAAGTTGTGTGGCCTAAAGTTATTGCAAAGGAGTTCGGTATTCAGAGGTGTGCATGCATAATCTTCAAGAGAAGAAAAATTATCATTTTTGACAGCATGAAGCTATCCGAAGGCAGGGAAATTTCCGCATTGGAACAGGGGGAGGGATTTAAGTATCTGAGCGTGTTAGAGGCTGGTGATCTCTTTTAAGAGGAAATGAAAGCAAAACCGACAAAGTAATACTTTCACAGGATAAGATCCATTCTGAAATCGAAGTTGAACGGAAGCAATTTTGTGGCAGCTATTAATGAAAGAGCTGTATCTCTCTTGAGGTTAGTGCAGGTATCTTGAAGTGAAGGAAAACGGAGGTGGAAGCTATTGACAGGAATGCAAGAAACTGTTCACAATCTATGGTGCTCTAAACTCTTGAGCAAACACAAGTAGAATATACTTGCAAAGGAAGGAAGGTGGACGTGGGTTGATAAGTGCAGTGGATTCTGTCACCATGGAACAGTTTAGTTTGAATCATTTGTTTTGCAGGGTCAGGAAATGCCGCTAAAAGCTACCTGCCACGTTTTGAAGCGTAACTCACTTGCAGTATAAGCAACGAATGACGAGAGAATGGCGGATTGGAAGAAAAAACCATCGCCTGGCCAGTTTGCAAGACATACAGAAGGAGTGATAAATAATATCTCTTAGACGTGGTTTAAAAGAAGGGGAATTTAAGGAGACAGAAGGATTGTTAACAACGCCTCAGGACCAGGCATTTCGAACCAATGCAGTAACAGGCAAAGATTGACAAACAGGCTGCGAGCTCAAAATGCAGGTTGTGCAAGAGTGCCCAGGAATCTATAAGCCACATAGTTTGTGAATGCTCAGCATTGGCTCAGAGAGAATATAAAGTTAGACATGATGGTGTTGCAAAAGGTGTCCATTGATGCCTGTGCGGTAAGTACAAATTGGAAGTTGCTGACAAGTGGTATGAGCATGTCCCTGGAAGCTTGAGAGTCCGAGAAAGTGAAAATCCTTTGGGATTTTAGCATGTAGACTGATCCCCAGCTTGACCACAATAGACCTGACCTGGTTGTAGTAGACAAACAACAAGGAGTTTGCCAAATTATTAACATAGCTGTTCCAGGAGACGCTAGGGTGGAACAGAAGGAGAAAGAGAAAATTGCTAAATATCAAGACCTGGCAAGAGAATTAGGAAAACTGTGAAAGGTCAAAACTAGAGTTGCTGTAGGGGCACTTGGGACAATCCCAAAAGGATTAGTCGGCCATCTTGAAAGCATAGGAATGAATCTTGCTGTGGCTCAAATTCAAAAGACTATCTTATTAGGAACAGCACGAATCCTCCGACGAGTTTTTTAGTTGTTGGTAGGTTGTAGGATGTAAGTTGTACCAGGAACTGGTTACCTGTTAAACACTGAGAGTATATACATAATAATAATAATAATAATAATAATAATAATAATAATAATAATAATAATAACAATGATGATGAAGTCAATGAAAGAAGAAAAGTAGAAAAACAAAGCATTGCATGGCCAGTATCCAAAGATCCTAGAGAAGCCTCATGTAGACACAGTCACCACCAACAAATGGTTGTCAAGTAATTTGAAAGGAGAAACAGAGGGACTACTTGTTGCAGCTCAAGACCAGGCAATAAACACCAGAAACTACCAGAAAGTAATATGTGGCCAGCAAGTGGAGAGCAAATGCAGATTGTGTTCGCAACATGAAGAGACAGTGGACCATATTGTATCTGGATGTGAGGTATTAGCCAAAACAGAGTACATCTCCAGGCACAATAATGCTGCAGCATATCTCCATTGGAGCGTATGTAAAGATCATGATATAGAGATTACAGACAAATGGTACGAACACGAACCAGAGACCTTGATACACAATAAAGATAACAACATCACCATCATGTGGGACATGCCAGTCAATACTGATAGAACTATAACAGCGAACAGACCAGATATCATCGTTAAAGATTCAGTGAATTCCACCTGCAAACTTATTGATATGACTGTTCCATCGGATAGAAACATCGCACTGAAGGAAACTGAAAAAAAATGCAAGTACAAAGACCTAGAACTAGAAATACAGAGAATGTGGCATATGAAAACCGTAGTGATCCCTGTGGTTGTTGGTGCGCTTGGTACAGTGAAGAAGGGTATGGTAGAAAACATCAAGAAAGTATCAGAAAGAGCTAATATGACAGAGATTCAAAAGATCTGCATGCTGGGATCTGCACGAATCCTCAGAAAGGTGCTCAGTGTATGAACAGAATGATTGACTTGAGTGACTATGGTGCAATGCAGAACACCAGCAAAAAGAATGATAATGAGATAATAATAATAATAATAATTGAGCTACTATGACAGAGATTCAAAAGATCTGCATGCTGGGATCTGCACGAATCCTCAGAAAGGTGTTCGGTGTATGAACAGAATGATTGACTTCAGTGACTGACGCTCTAGGTGCATGGTTTGCGCCCGGCTGATGCACAAAAAGAACACCAGCAAAGACTGTGATAATAGACATAATAATAATAATAATAATAATAATAATAATAATAATAATAATAATGACATGATAATGAGACATTTATGAAGTGTTTTTCCCAAGAACCTAGGGGCGCTATATTTACGTAGTTGAAACCAACATTTAAAAACTACAATGTAAAGTCCTAGATGTTAAAATAGAAAACCCAAAAATCCTAAGAAAAACTAAAAGATAAAAGCAATTGAGATTTAAGAAAACATTACAGCCACGTTATTGATTAAAAAGGCGCGTCTAAAAAGGACGAATTTAAAGTGACTCGTAAAACTTTCCAGTGATCCAGCACCCCTAATATGTAACATGCACATTATGTTCCAGTACTTTTAGTTTCCGGCATATATAATACAGAATTATGTAGTACCCTGTTGTTTTTTCGAATTAAAATACAACTGAAATTTTAAAGCTGGCTCATTTACCAGGATGCTGAAAGTCCATGTATGATGTGAACATACTATCCCTAGATTTGACGGATATAAGTAGCTTCCCTTCTATGTAGTCGGCAGCATCCTTGATACAGTGTATTTCGACCTCAACACGCACCGACAGTTTGTTAGAATCAGTACTCAGTCTAATACAAAAACAACAGAGATTATTTCAGCATACATTCATTTAACATTCCCTTAGGTATCACTTAGGTATTTAGCTATCTGTCATTGGCCAACAATATGTGAAGCTTACATATGAAACTAACTTTGGTACTCACCGAAAACGTTTGAACTTCAAGTCAAGGAATCCTGGAACAAACTGCACAACGTCTCTTATCTAAACGGAACAGGTTGCGAAAAATGTTGAAAATGCTGATTACAATTAAGACGAACAAGCGAAATTACTTCTTTCACTTGTAAATTGTAATTTGTTTACCCACGGAGCACTTAGAAGTTCGGAAGAACTCATTGAAACGAGTCCGTGCGTTCCAGAACGAATTGGAATTTGGAAGTAGTGGTTTTTGAGGAGACGGGAAAACCGGAGTACCCGGAGAAAAACCTCTCGGAGCAAGGGAGAGAACTAACGACAAACTTTAACACATGGCATCGACGCCAGGATTCGTACCCGGCCACATTACTGGGGGACGAGTGCTCTCACCACTGCGCCACCCTTGCTCCATAAATTAAGCCTTTGCAAAAATGAAAAACTAACAACCATTTTTATTTTACCAGATAGCTATTTGCTCGAGACCCACTCCAATTTGCCATGATCGTCGACTTCACTTTCAAATAAAACTGTTTTGCGACTGTTGAGGCAAAAGAAAGATATCCCTCCACAAGGCAAAAAAAATTCAATTTCTTAAATTATGGGCATATCGTAGATGTCATTAACTAGGTGCGCACGCTCCCGTTATGATATTGATTTTACGCCGCTATTGTTAAAAATAGTACGCTGCTTCACTGATTGTCACAATGATTTTGGAATTGGCTGGAATTGTACATGTAATTGCTTGGATAACCTTCTTTATGGGATTAAGTAACGGTGACCAGCGGCATACAAAGTTCATCATCTTCAAATATAGCTTGAGTATTAAATTTTCTCAAGATGCAGAAACTGTAACGGAGCTCCTCAGCTTACCTGAGTCAAACAGTCAGCGGCCCAAGTTTTATAATTTTCGCTGTCGTCATTCAGAAATGCAAGAGTGAACGATGCAGTTGGATCGGCAATTACGATCTTCGCCAAAAAGAAGTAATCTGTGGAAAACCAAATGACCCGGTTTTCGTATTAATGCTAACTTTAAAGATTGGAGCAGAATGAAAAAGAAACGAGTGATGTTCTTTAATTACTGCTAGCTCTAAATGGTCTGCCCACCGTGACTTAGGGGGAATTTTTTGTGGTTTCGAATTGGAACTTGAATTATAATAAGAATCCAAACTTATCACATGAAGAAAAAGCGTGGGTGTAATATGGCAACATTTATATCAATAGGAAACCAAAACCACAAATGTGGCTTTAATTTTGTTTTAATTAACTTTTTAATCATAAGAGTATATTTAATTGGTTACAACAAAAACTCCTGCATTTTTCCAAATTCTCCATAACATTTTTCAGATGTTTTATTTGAATATATGACAAACTTTCATTCTCTGTTTTACAATTACGCCATAGAAAAAATAAAACAATAATGAAAACCATTCAATACAGAAAGTCCAGAATCTGTGATAAATATACAAAAGGCCTCACCAACAATCAGGTATGTGCGATGTTTTATATGCGAGATATTCGGAAAAACGTTTTACCCAAATTTATATAGCTTTGTATGGAGACGCCATGTTGGTGTCCCTTTGAGGGGCACAAATATGGCCGCCGGAAACCAACCGAGATATCTGCTTTTGAGTTTTCCTACAAACGCGTGAATTCATCGCTTGAAGAACTCATATATTTATTCTGAGACAAGAAATAATTAGATAGCAAAATCACCAAAAAAAAAATCGGTAGTGTTTTTAACCCACATAAGAGCTTTCCCCGCCGCCGGCTAGATGCTGCGTCACGCAAAAGCATAGAAATTCAAGTGTCCTCTCTCGAACAACAAAGACCCTTTCGAATCCGAAAATTTGTGTAAATGAAGGTGTTTAGCTGTTGTAATACCTCATGAAATTAGAAACTCAGAAGAATCAATAATTACGTAGTTTGAATTTTTTGTGACGTCATGTGAAAACCGAGAATAAATAGAAATAACTTCTTCATTTGAAAGCTGAGGGGGGTAAGAATGTTTTATAACTCAAAACAAATAAGAAACAACAGCAACAAGGACAACAACAAAACAAAATCCTGTCACGCCATTACCCGGGTTACAGCCGTACAACTCCATTCGTAGACCCACGTTGTTGTTCCACTCCAGCGGTTTTATCATAACGGTTGACGTAATAACAGGAAGAGGGACATCATGGTGTTGCACTCCGTTGACGTCTACATTTCCGGTGAAGTTCTTCAAGAGAAAATTAACCTAGTGGTGAGAGATGTGGTCTTGGAAAAGTCCTTTTACTTTTCTTGATGATGCGATACAAAAAAAGGCAATGTAAAACACTGAAAATTTATTTCACCAACAACAGAATCGGCAACTAATTACAATTGCCACAGCGACAATCAAAACATCAAATGTGGCTATAATGTTTTAACCGATTCACACTTGAACCGCTTGTAAGTAAACTGCCCGTGTGGCTCCGCATCTCTTTGACTCCTAACTTGTGCATGAGAAAGATATTTTTCGACCTAAACCTGAATAAGTAAGATTCAGCCAAACAGGCCACAAAAAAATAGCTAAAAAATGTCTTAAGTTGAACAAGAAATCGAATGAAAATCTTGCTACACATTGCATCGACGTACATGTCCTTTCAAATCATTTCACGATTAAAGTTTTCGCGGAAACAAATCCCACCGAAATGGACCATATCAAATACCTAGCAAAAAGAAAAAAAGAAGGAAAGAAGTGAGAAGAATAGTGATAGGAAGCAAAATTTTGTCTTTTCGCGCTGGATAGTTTGTCTCTTTTTGGCCGGGCTGGGAGCCTTTATTAAAAGGGAATTTCCAGCAAAAGAATTTGGAACCATTTGGTTTGACATTTGTTATTACATGCGGTTTAATCAACAGTCTACGACTTTTCCCTTGAGCAGTAAGTTTCGTTTTTGATGATTGATCCTAAATTACATTCTGTGCCTTTAAAATGCGTCTTTCGCTTTTATGCTAAATTGAAATAATGCGACATCGTAATCTGAAATTAAAACGCAGCGCGCTAGCCGTCGTGAATAATTACACCAATAAATTGACCTTAGCATAAATGGCCATTAGAATTCCAAGAAGATTTGAATAAAAAGAGACCATCTTTGCCTGAATGTTAAACTGGTCAAAATGTAATATTCAGTAGCACAAGAAAATACATTATTTAGAATATTACCTCTAGAAAATATAGGCAAGGTTAGTAATAGAAGTGCTCTAAGAACTAAAGCTATAAACGTCGCGACCAGTTTCATTTCAGATATTCTTAACAAATTCTTATCATATTCGTCTAAAAGTTACATAACTTGATGTTTCTAATACAGCTATGGTTTCATCAACAGTTTCCGCTGTATTTTTAAACAACGTTCTTGTTCTTCTGACTCATAAGAACCTGGCCGGAAGTTTTCATCTTTCAGAGCCAGGGACTGGCTTCCGTTCCGTCAAAGCAATCAACTATTTTATGTTTGACCTTTTAAACAGTTGGGGGTTCCTATTTGGCTTTAAAGAGAACAAGACAAATTGACTCTGCCTGAAACGTCATCTTAAGAATTCGCATTTAAAAAATAGTTAAACAAAAAGATAATTATATATTTACGGATGTAGTGGCGGTGCATGAAGGCCCAAATTAAAGCACTTCTTTATATTTCAGGTACGTAACTCGAAAAAACTTTCTTTAGCAAGAAAGTTGTATCAATATTAATATAGGGCAATAATTCTACTTTCTGGGCACCTTGAAAGGTCTAAAGTTGAATTGAATTTGTATTTTTCCATAAGCGGCCGCGTGTAAAGTTAATCAAGGTTAATTAACAAAAAAAAAGATTCAAAAAGTTGAATCACCTGCATAGTATACGACTAAAGTGTAACCAAGTATTCCTTTGAACAGATCATAAAAACAAAACTTTCAAAAGGTAGCTCCATTTCAAAAGAAAATAGTGCTTAAACCAAGCCAAAGCGTTTTGCAGTGATTTTGAAATATTAGTTCGCTGATTTAGTCGGGTGATTCAGTATGGTGATGATGATAATGACGACGACGATGATGATGATGATGATGATGAGGAGGAGGAGGAGGAGGAGGATTAGTTAAGTGGGTTGACTCAAAAGCGACGGAAGAAGAAATCGGTCGCATCGTTTGTCAAGACAGGCCAAAAAATTACCGGCATTGTCTTCTCGTTTAGCTCTGTCTAAAAAATATGTTTTTAAGCGCAGCAGATAGAGAGTGTTCTATACAAATGGCTTTTCAACAGTGTCCGTACTGTTGACTCGATTCGAACTAAGCCAAGTCAACGGGCCTAAATGTCGGAATCTTAAAAAGTTTTTGCCATACAAATAGTAAATTGTCTTACCCTAGTTGCGCCGCTGGTTTCCTTGAAGGGCGAAAAATCAATGCCATTTAAGAACATCAAATTGTACTTAGTAACCCACTCTTGCACTGTTGTATCTCCATATCCCTGAGTTGAAACGCCTGTTACTACGGTGTCGTTTCCTAAATCTACAGTAATATAAGACCCATTTGTGTCAACGCTAGAAGCGTCAGCACGATAACCTCGAGGCGGTTGGTCCAAACGAAGCCTGGCTCTCTGAGGCCCAAACATGCTAAAATCTTTGTTAAACGCTGATGAAGCCCACAAAGCGCCGTCTGGTATTTTGCGAGATTCCAATCCCAAAGGATTTCTGCAATTGGCTGAAGAAAAAACGTAAAAACTATAATGGTTTCAAATTGTCATTTCTTCCCTGTAACTTAACCAGCTATCGCTTTTGATATTCAAGAAGATATGAGCTTTCACTATAGGATTGAGCAAACTTACCAATCAAATCTTCATCCTTGATGGTAGTTTGATGAACGATTTGAAACACTAAAGTAGCGGTAAGAATGCATAGAAGAGAAACTCTCATCATTCTTGGCAATATTGGCATGCCTGATATAGTTGACTCGTCGTTGACTGACTAAAAACTGACAAAATCCTAGTGAGGCGTCTTGCTATTTTCATGGCAGGAATAAACTTCATTAAAAAAGAAGGAGTTTTAACTGGTGGAAAATCTCTTCCGGTCAACAATAGCAACCATCCGCCATAACAGACGGCTAAAAGTTACTACACAATTCAAAAAGGACGAAGAGTTTAATATGGATGTATCATATGGCTCTTTGCATAATTTTTTAGTTCTAGGTTGCAGATACATTGTAGTACGAAAATCTCTCAACTTTATCTTTCTGTTTGAAATCACTACTTCCTTAACATACAAAATTCCAACCATTGTTTTTTGAAAACTCCTTTTTATGGCACAATCTAAGAGTGTAGATTGGATTTTGCTATTTCTATCAACAATTTAAAAGAAAGGGTTGGTGCATCTAGGCATTGTTCTGAATTTTCAATCCTTGTTAGTCCATTATTGCAGGAGCTGCATGTGTTAGGGCTGCTAAATCAACAAAATTCGGATCCCATGACAAAATATTTTGTGAACACACAGTTTCCAGAATTATCTAAAAAAAGAAATTCGTTCCACCGGCTTGCACGATTGATCCAAGCAG